AGAGGAATGGGCATAATACAAGACGGGAAAAACCTCATATCCATGACAACTGCAGGTCAAAACTGTACAGGACACTTGTGTTTGTTTCTGCTCTCTTACTTAAGGGCATTTTTTGTAAGTCTCCATTCATATTGTGTTCTAGCAGACAACTGCTCAGAAAAAGTTGTGCTGCTTCTAACTTTGAACACAGTAATGAGGGATACAGAAAAAAACCCCAGTATTTAGGTAGTCCTTGCTTGGTAGTAAGAATGTTTTTATGCAAGAAGGAATGAATGGTAGATAGAGATAAGTTTTAAGGACAAATGTTTACCCACTCGATGCTACAGTGACTGCTGGGTCTCAGAGGTACTGCCTCTATCTTGTGAAGTCTTGCCACTTTCATTACACCCATAATTTTATTGATGCCATGAATAATATAGTCTTACAGAGAAAATTAGTCTCCCTTTGACCCGATTAACATGCAAAGGTAATTTTAAAGAAGTAGATAAATGGGTAAGGGAACAAAAAGGCATATAGAATATGTGTTAGATTAAAATAGAAGGAGAACTCTAAAAATACTATTCACTCTATTATGCAACCTTTAGCATATATTTAAACTCGAAACATCTTGTAAAAGCAGCAATAATTATTAAAAGGAATGACAGGAGTCTTATTCTCAAGCTAGCTTTTTCAAGTGTCTTACATCTGCAAATAAAACCCACTATCTTAATTATTTTATAAATCATGACATGATAATCTGATGTCATTTTTTTCTGTTATAAAAATACTTCCTTTTCTGAAGCATGAAGAGACATACCTCTTTGTCTCATTACAAGGTTAGGTGGTGCTGTTTTAAAAAAAACTTTCTGTAATATACATTTCCAATTTCTCTGAGAATTCAGTGCAAGAAAACTAACAAATCTAGACAAAGAAAAGGTTGTTTTCTTAACTGTTCCTAGTGTGAACCAAACATAAATAGCCTTAACTATACACATAAAAACAGACTGTAAAGTGATTAAGGGGAACCAGGACCATAGGACCCTGAGAATATATACCCAGAATAATTCTGAAAAACTTGGATTAAATTTAAACTGAGCATCATTGTACTTTGTGTACTACTGTAACCAAATCAGATTTTGAAAGTTACTCTGAATTTCATATTTACAGTTTTCCTCATAGTAAACTATTTTTTGCAGCGTGCTGTCTTTCTCTACATAGGAGAGAAATTTCCCTTCATAGGAGGAAGAAATGGAAATCAAAAAAAATTCCCCCCAAAAACTTCCAAAAATCAACATCTTTATTCCAACCATCAGTTGTGTGCTGAACTGTCAGTTCAGTAGTGAGGCAGTCCCTAGGTCAAAAACAACAGCTGAATTTTTCTTCAATTCCAGTTTGGCTTGAAGGGTAGTACTACACATAAGAAAGAACATATCAACCTTGAGATCTTATTTTTATCTGTTAATTATCAATGTTTCATAAAAGTGAAGTTTTTGACAATTTAAGTGAATAACTGTGAGCTGTACTCCCTGACTACCTTTTCCTTAAATCAGAGTAAGAGACATAATTTAGTCCTCATTCTTATGTTCAGAAAATAATATGTTTTTCTCCATTCAATTATTATTTTCCGTGTAACTTAAGCACACTTCTGTACATTCACACTTAAGCACAACCCAAAATAACAGAGTCATTTTTAAGATAAAAATGATATAAAAATGGGATCAACACAAATTAGAGAGGTCATCCCTTCTCTTGGATTCTTTCCCTCACCACTGCAATATCAGTACAACAGTGTAGTACTCTCTTGCAAGCACTGCCTGCTGCTAGGAGTGATCCCATGATATGATGATTAAATGGATAAGTACTGAATTTTAACATATCCTAGAAGAACAGAAATTGAATTAACTATCTTCATAGAGCACCATCAATATCTATTGCTCTGTTGTTAACAGTGCATTCAGGCATCAAACTTACTAGACTACCTTGAATTGCATCAGCTGTAAGAATGAATTATTTGCAGCTGTAAACATATTTTAATGAGTGCTGTAATATATAAAACATCTCCAAATGCAGGATGATGTAATCAAATATTACAGTTATGGAGACAGTAAATTGCTACTTACACAGATCATCTTATTAAAATAACTTCAAATAAAATTTTGTTATATTTTGTTAATTTTAGCTCTTATAGCATTAAATTAAACAATGAATAATTATTACTGCACATGAAGTAATTTAAAAAGTTATCTTTGTGCATGTGAAAAATGTATGTTATCACATTATATTCAACAAGATGTGAAAAGAGGCACTACAGTTAAAAATATTTCTTACAGAAGTTAAATCTTTTGCATTAATATAGAATAAATCTTTATAAACCCTAAAGAGTCACAAATCAGAAGGAAATTTTAAGAAAGGAATGCTTTAGAATCCATCAGATACAAGTAAGAGATTAACAGATGAGAAGAATATTCAATTTTAAATATGATGCTGAATGACTGGCAAGAGTTTTCAGGGTATATAATGTTATTTAAATAAAATTCTTTTGTAAATATTGACTTTCAGTTTAACTTCCCAAGTAGTTACATACTCTAATGCTATATTAGAATTAGTCACTGCTAATGCTTTCAAGTCTTTGCAAGATGTTGTTTGAATGTATGTGCCTAAACAATGCCTGTGGCAAACAGCTAAAGCTTGTTCATGTATATCCAATTTTAGAATACAGAGTTGTCAGCATATGACATGTGTCTCACAAATGTTGAAGCATATGAATGTGTTGTACAGAATTAGGCAAATTTATTTGGAGCAAACTCTACAGGTATTTTCTGTAATGGCAGTTGAGAGTAAGGAGATACTAGCTGTGTGAAGCCAACTGCAGGCTCAGGTACATTAGTTTCACAAATAAATACCTTCTGCCAGATGTTGACATTTAACTCAAAGATTTAAAGATAAAACAAATAATTCATAATAAGAAATCCTATAAAATTTCTGACATCCTTCTGAATTTTGTATCAAATTTCTTGCAATTTGTAGCAATTAAAATATAAATTCAATTTTTAAAAAATTAAATTGCATTAGTAGGTGGTGATTGTAAGGTACTACTACTTTTAGAATCACCAAAATACAAACATTTGAAATGCAAACTAATATTTACAATGTGGCTGACAATCCAGCACAAAGAAAACAGAAATTTCCCTGTCCAAAATCAATGGACTTAGATAACATGATGAAGCTGCAAGAAGGAAACCAGATTAGATCAGACTCTTTCATGTATGCATGCAAAGTATGTATGTAGATATCCATGAGCACTTTCCATTATTAAATTCCTGTGTCAAATATAACTTTACTGTTACTAATTGAGATGTTTTATTCACTGACTTTTGAATTTCTTCTTGTGGTGACACAAACCCAATAAATTTTGGAAGAATTTTGGAAAATAATAGCTTAATAACTGTTGAGATGCAATAATCAGGTCTTAATACAAGGACAGAACTTGTCAATGTCGTAATCTAAATCTTTACAGTTTCACCACTCAGTGTAGAGGCCCAGAGAAGATGACTTCAGTTGCATTCTCACCCACCCTTAGGTCCCACTATGGTCTGAGAAATGCTCATTAGGCTTTGGCCTTGAAGAACTGCACTTGGACTAAGCCTCTCTCCTGCTTGTCAGAAACAATGTCTACTCCTAGGAAGTAGAAAAGCATCAGTTTTTTAAAGAGCAGCCTTTGAAACTTATTTTTGTTGCCTAATAAACCCAAATGAAATAATATTTCTGTTGCTGAACCTTCAAAAAAAGTTACTAACTTGAATTTCATCCAGGATAGAATGTCTCTTGTGATCTTATAAAAAGTGATTTAAAGTGAGACCCCTTCAAGCTGTCAGTCATGAAGGGCTGATGAATACTAAGCCCACTACCTAATGGCCTTATAAAGAGTGGTCCAAAGTGACACTTTTTTGCGGTCTTAATTTCCAGAACATAAATAGCTAATGTGTCTCAAACACTAATATAGATGTGAAGCCAAGCAAGAACTTTTAGTAATAACAGACATAAAATTTTGGTAATAACCAAGGACTATTGGTACTAGCAGGCTCTGAGAAAGAACAAATTTTGACTGGAGAACAGACGCCAGGTGGAGACAGGGGAGCAGTTTTCTTTGAGAAAGAGCCACAATGCAATACAGCTGAGCACATAAATGAATGGCAAAAAGAGGACATAGACTATAAGGGGCCACCAAAGTTTGGAAGTCCTCAGACCCATTTCTAGAAAGGTCTACAGAATGGAATGTGTATGCTAAGTAACTAGCAGAGAAAGTGAGAAACTTATCTTCAGAGTAAAGAAGACTCTCCACAAAAATGTACCAAGCCTCAAGCCCATGCAGTGACCCTTGGACCGTGGACATCTCATCAGCCACGCCAATGCAGCTGGATTGCTGTTTATCACCTGGGTTGACACTGAAATTAGGATGAGCATCCCCTCAACTGGGTTGGCACGGAGTCTGGGATGGGCATCCTCATCATCTGAAGTGAGGGGTGGTGTACTCTTTTTTACTTTTCTTTTTCCTCTTACTTGCCCTCCCTTTTTCTATTTTCTTTTCTTTAATTAGTCTCTCCCTTTTTGATGAACCTCTTCAATTTCTGTTTTCCCTTCCCTCCTGCCCCTGGATCCAAGACCCACTGCCATGTGGTTAGTCTCTCTTTTCCCTTTACCCTACACTTTTGTCTGAACCTCACTGCCATGTGCCTACAAAGCAGGCCAGGGACTAACATACCAATTTTCATGCCAATTGCATAATTTACCAATAATACTCTATGCTTCTTTGCAGACCCTCTCACTTCTGTAATTTTTTTTGATCAATGAGCCTTTTTTGAATTTGAGGGCTTTCTTCCCATGAGGGTGGGTCATCACACTCAGGCAAATAGTTTTCATAACGATGATCTCCAGCATGCTTTTGCATCTTCCTATTTCTGTTTGCAATTAAGTGCCTTAAAATGATAAACAACGTTTTCTTGTTTTTTGTTTTGATTTACCTGAAAGACAGCCAGTGAGTGACAGATACAGCAAGAGTTTCCATGACAGCCACATCCTTGGTCACAAAGGTCCTTCCGTCCCTCTTTTTGCAGTTGTTAGCAATGTTGATGTTTCTTAATTAAAGCTTAGCCTAGTGGGACAAAGACAGATCTCTGTTAGGAAAATTAAAAATATCTCTCAATGATATGACAAACAATTAAAGAGACAAAGCTTCTCCTAATGCAATTAAAAGTCTAGTTCCAAAGGACTCTCTATACACAGGAATAGATAGAGGGATCTTGCTCCAGTAGTTAACAGTGTTAATAGCTCAAATGTCTGTGGTGGTGCTCTGCATATATGTATATATATTATATATCTTAACACTGCATGTGCCTTGAACCTTTTAATTTCCAAAAAGCCAAAATTAGAAGCTAGTACACATATTTTTCACAGCAAACATATTCAAAACCTGACATGTGTTCCATATTTTCCTGAAAGAGGTTGACTTTTGGTACAATGTGTTTCAAAAAGCTCATGTGGAAATGTGGGTTAGATGAGTGGACAGTGAAGTGGATTGAGACTTGGCTGGAGGGCAGAGATCAGTGTTGTGACTAGTGGTGAAGAGTCTAGTTAGAGCCTACAGCTCTCAGTGCTCCCCAGAGATCAGTACTGGGTTCAGTCATCTTCAATATATTAATCAGCGACCCTGGCTGAAAGTAACCCTCATGAAGTTTGCTGATGATACAAAACTGGGAGGAGTGGCAGATACGCCAAAGTTCTGTACAGCCCTCCAGAAGGGTCTCAACAGGCTGAAGAGACGGGGAGAGAGGGACTGTCTGAATGGGACTGTCAACAAGAGCAAATGCAGGGTCTTGCACCTGTGGAGGAATAACTCCAGTACAGGCTGGGATCTGACCTGCTGGAAAGCAGCTCTGCAAAGAAGGACCTGATGGACAACAAGCTGTCCCTGAGTCAGCAGTGTGTCCTTGTGGCCAAGAAGACCAGGGGGATCCTGGGGTGCATTAGGAAGAGGCAGCAGGTCAAGGGGGATGATCCTGCCCCTCTGCTCAGCTCTAGTGAAGTACATCTGAAGTGCTGTGTTCAGTTCTCGACTCCTTAGTACAGGAAAGACAAGGAAGTACTGAAGAGGGTTCAGCAGTGAAGATGAAAAGAGGACTGAAACATCTCTCTTGTGAGGGAAGGCTGAGCGAGGTTGCAGAGTACTGGAACAGCCTGTAGAGTCTGGAGATGTTCAAGACCCTCCTGGACGCAATCCTGTGTAACCTGTTCCAGGTGAATCTGCTTTAGAAGAAGCTTTGAAGTAGATATCTGCATACTTCCCTTTCAACTCCAACCATTATATGATTGTTTTTTTCTTGAAAGTAATATGCTTATATATTTAGTATAAACAATTTTTTAAATGTTTTGGGAAAATCTAGGTGGTTTTAATACTTGCAAACTGGATTGAAATGGATTCCAGTTTCTTCATCTTTACTCAGTGTGTGACGATGCTACCAATACATTTGAAACAATCAACACTTTCACTTTCATATATTATTCATACTCATCTCTTACTGTTCCCCAGATTTGTGTTTCCTATCTGTCCCATGGCATGAACATAAATTTTGGCACAGTTTTTCTTTGATCATTGTCTTCCTAGATATCACTTGAACAATGTCATCAACTTTACCACATCGGAACTTAAGAGATTTTGCATTCAAATGTCTGAAAAGTCAGTCCAAAATATGAGAAGATTCAGCTGGTTTTAAATGGACATAAGTGTGCTTCTGGTCTTTGAGTTGAAAAACATCAAGTAACAAACTTAACTTCCTACATTTAATTAGTCATATATATTCAGGAGGATTTTGAGATCTTACTGGATCCCAAGGAATCTTCAATCAGTAGAGGCTGTGATTTATAACTAAAAGGACAATGACATGTAACATAATTATGAGAAAAAAAGAGAATTTCTTTTGTTCTCCTATCAAACCTCTTTTGGGGATAATAGGATTCCTTCACATTATAACCAGCTTAGTTACATGCCATATTTTCTGCTTGGGGGGTCCTATTCTCTGTTAGAACCCTGACAGTAAGAGAACAGAGGCAAAACTCTACACACTTGCTAAAAATAAAAATATAAATCATAATGTAAAAATAGGTTCATGCTGGATGATTCTATTTCAACTGCTCTCTGAGTACCTCTAGTTGTAACCAGTTTTGACAGTCTTTCCATCATATATAGAGGGACACACTGTGTGAGCACAAGATGACATCTCTTTATGTTGCTGGCAGTTATTCCAGCAACAATATAAAGGTGTAGCTTGTCAGCTTTCATTTAAACAGCACAGCAGATATGCTTTTCAACACAGATAAAAAAATCCCATTTAGGATTTGTACTTCCTTTCAGGTAACTCAGACCAGGGAAACTTAATATTGGAGGTACACATAAGAAACCCTGAAAGAGAGAACAACAATCTGGTAGACAAATGACTTCCCACATAGAGCTTGAAACTCATGTAAACCTCCATAGGAAACCTCCTCAATTAATTATTAATGCTTTCTGCCTTTGTTTTTCACTTCAGTGATAATCTGCTTTTCAGTCATTGTGTTCCTTGGTTAGTGAATTATCTCATTCAGCATTCTTTGTTGGCCAGGCCTCTGGGAAATAAGTATTTTCATTAAAATTTAAATTTTTCCCTCATGGTCATATCTGTTAAAGAGAGTAAAGCAGTGATTTCTCCCCCTCCCTCTAACTTTATTACTTTTTCTTCTTCCTCTTTTCCTCACTTCTATTCAGATACTTTTATAACAGTGTAATAACAAAATTATTTTAACTTGGTGATTTTTCTCTAGCATGAACAGGGAAACATATACCAAATTTTCCAGCATTACAGTGTGAGATTGTTGCTATTTTTATTACTAGGTATTCGTGTGCCTATTGGATTAGACTGTTAAAATAATAATAATAAAAATTGTGATTGGTAGAACAGAAACAGAATGAAGAATAACTGAAGCCAAATAGTGGGAACATCAAAATAAAAGCTGCATTCTTGAAACATGATGATTTTAAATTCTCTCAGAAGTCTTGAATCATGATGATTTTAAAATTTCTGTGAAAAAGAATTTTTCTTAATGGATGTGTCATTGAAGACATCAGAGTTATCACAAGTTGAGTGCATAAGGAGCCTATAGTTGAATAGCTATAATAACTTATATGTAACAAGCCTATGTAACCTGTAACTATCAACATAACACATAGTTCAGACCTGTTACACAGGAGTATGAAAATGCAAAACCAGAGCACTATGACAGGGAGATTATCTCATTTAATTCATGGATGTTGGACGCTGGCTTTTCTACTTGGATATTTGTTGTATAAATATATTGGCTGATCTCTGTAAAAGAATTGCCAGCAAAACAAACAAGGGCAAAATATGTCATTGCATAGCTTTTAAAAAAATCTACTTAGAATCTTGATTATTGTAATAATGAAAGAATTTTACATCTCTAATTTTTTTCTATATTTCTTGTTTCTTGAAGATGAATGATGTGTTCATGCAGCCTGACAAAGACATTGATACTGCATGGTATAGGGCTGCCATATGGCACATGGGATAATGACAAAGGAGCTTTGCAGGAAATAATATGTGCAAGAGGATGAAAATGCTGTATTTGATAAATATAGGCAGATAGTCTAATTTCTGTTCTAGATTTAATGAAGGGAGGTACTCCTGGGTTTACCATCAGTTGATTTCATATATCTTTCCAATGACTAAGTTCTCACTTCTAGACACCTGTGAATGAAGAATTCCTTTATGCTTATAGCAAAAACATCAAAGCTGCACTAAATCCATCAAGACCAGTATCCTCTTTCTTACTAAAGAAAAAAAAAATGAAAAAAAGAGAAAAGATCCTATTGCTGAAAAAAACCCTAGTTAATATTGTGTTATATCTTATAAGAAGAATCTTCCCCTTAAAACTGCCTTATTCTAAAAGTAGTTTAAGGGCATATATACCAGCAGTATTAAGTTGTTCTTGGTTTGAAAATTTTGCTAATTTTCTGTTTAGTTTTGGTTTTTTTTCCACCCCTGACTATCCCAGAATGAGGAATACTTTAAAGAAAAACAAAAAAATCATTTGCATTTTAATCTTATGACTGTGAACTAAAATATACAATAAGTTATGCAAAAGAACATAGTGGAAGGTACTGCTTAAAAAGACTTTAAAATATTTTCAGATGAACAATATCTGTTTTTTCCCTCAGTAACAAATTAGGACTTAAAAATCCAAGTGTCATGTTTGGAATAGTTTCTTGGCTTCATTCTTCAAGAAAAGGAAATTAAGTTGTTCAGAATATAGTATTTTTTACAGATGTCTTTTGCAAAATAGCATAAGTTGAGAAAGCTCTACAGTTCAGATTTTTAATTTAAAGATGGGCTCTCTACAATTTCCTGATTTTTTTTATTCTGTCTTGTTCTTATTCTGGTTTCTTTACAATTTCAACACAGTTTCAGTAAATTATTTTTTTCTTAATACCAAGAACATGAATTTTCTCTGAAGGAAATTTGTATAAAAAAGTGATTTAAACTACAGATGTATATAATGTGCAGCAACTAATTCATCTAATTTATTTTCCAGCAGAAAAATTAGAAAATGCAGTTTTCAATTTCCACATGTTACTACCTCGGTCCCCTGTTTTCCCCAGGATTTCTGCCAAATTACTTTTGCAATGTATTTTAATTCTGTGTGCTAATTGTAGAAAACTTATTAAAGCCCTCACCATTCAGTGTATTTTAATGAATTGTATTGTCTGGTAGTGACAGGGTGGATATTTTCTCATGGTTCTGACTCCTAGTAGAATTTGTGAATACTGAGAGAACGAGTACTAATTCAGTGTTGTCAATTCTAATGTGCAAGAGCCTTGAACTAGATCCAGCAAAACTGTGCTCTGTCTAAAGGCAACAATAGCATCTGCTATCATTAATGTTTGTTCAGGAAAAATTTAAATGCAACTGCAGAGATCTGTTCTTTTTTAAAATTAAAATACTTATAAAACAAAGCCTTTAGCATAGATACTGCGACACGGATATCAAAGTGCTTTCTTCCATTATCACTACTTAATTTCTCTTTTCCATCATGTACATATTTATC